GTTTGTGTTGAGTAGTGCTTCAATTTCGTGCCTGATTTGTTCCTGTGTGTCTAATGTAAGGAGTGTATTTTTAATAATAACTCTACGTTGGTCTGCAATGCGTTGTTCTGTTAAGTGTGCTAAATGTGGGTATTTTGTAATGAACGCGTGATATAGTTTACCTCTGTATATGCTGTCCTGTCCGTTTCCATCTTCGTGATCTCCAAATACGTACCGAAAATGAAGCGATTCATCCCTTCGTCCCATTTCATACGTCTTTTGGAGGTTTCCTTTGCGCTGGTCCCATCCACAAGCGGTTGAGAAGCAGGCACAAAGGTCTCTTCATGGCGGTCCTCTTCACGTGGTCGTTGTCCTCTTCGTAGTCTTCTTTCGGCTGTAGAGGTTTCGGGTATCCCGACGAGCGGCCGCCTGTTCACCAACTCGTCACTATCGGCTCGCATGCTGCAACGCCCAGCGATAGCTCCAGACGTGCCCTGACGCTCCTCAGGTAGCGGCATTTTTCCGAGGCTTTGTTTATACTCCATTTTCATGAGAATATGGGGTGACTAGGAACACGTGAAGGCGTCACTCTTCAAGATATTCGCGTAAGCAAATATCCACCTGCGTGTTGTGTATATGTAGGAGAGTCGGGAACATGGGCGTGGGAGTTGGAAAGTAAAGTGGGTAGGTAAATACTAAAGGTGGTTGGACTGGTCACCTTTAGTGCCCATTGATCGCTTTTTACGATCTCTAGGGCGAGAGTGGGCCTATTCTATCCCCGAACCCATTATTATTATTATTATTATTATTATTATTATTATTATGGTCGGTGTTTCTCTTGTCAGAACTCAGGTCTAGCCTCGCTAACTAATAGCACGAATTAAAATCAAGTAACGATTAAGTGTTAGTGTCTGTATGTCGTAGACCGGGAGATGGTGACACTTTTTGTGGTGTGATTTGCTACAAGTATGGCGACCATTCAAAGGTTTAATTAAGTACTCCTCGAAACGAAAATGGTGCTAACTCTCTGGGAGTGGGGCCGTTATTGCGTGACGATTGTTTAAACATGTCGGAAAATTTAATGATTTTGGACAATTTGCTACACAAAATTCTTTGGATTTTCTGGTAGTCGGTGACAAAGCAAATGACGGAAACGAAATGCCATACTTTTCCGGTGGGCCTTCTCGTGGCGATTGTTTGATTTTTTTTGGGTGATTTGCTACAAGCTCATTTTTTATGAGCATCAAGTCCTCAATCAGTCATTCACGAAAATCAACCTGCCATACCGCAGCGACGGGCCCGCATAGCCGCCATACCGGCACAAAGAGGTCATTTTTGTTAATCATTTTGAGCGATTTGCTACACCCTATACATTTTTCCACCAGTTATTTTTATAGTCAGAAATAGAAATTTCGATACGCCATACCTGTGGCATGGGCCAATTATGTATAATATTGTTTCAAAAATTTATGAATTTTCGGAAAATTGGGGCGATTTGCTACAGTATGGTACCAATTTTTCGTAACAGTTTGAGGTATGTATAATAAAAGTGAATATCAAGTTTCAAACATGAATCCCGAGCGAATCATGTTTTATCACGAGATGTTATGTTGCTTAATATTCTCCGTCCCACTCGACCCCTTAGTCAAGTTGTAGAGGTCCCGGTCGGGGTCGTTGTGTTGGGCATTGCATTCAATGGATCGCAGGTAGTGGGTAGCAGCTGCCGTCAAGTTTATACTACCCTCCATAAGTATCTGAACACTCAGTGTACTTAAAGTAACACCAAAGAGTAACTAACAATTATTCTTTGGTAAACTAATAATAATAATAATAACAATAATAATAAACGTTTAAATAATTATAGCAAACGAGCTCCTGGGGTATGGCTATAGCATGTGCCTCGGCATGTGCAAAACCAAATTTTGAACCTGTTGTTACATTTGCTTTTATTCTAAGTGCATATATGTATCAAATTTCATTTAAATGCTTTCATAATTCAGAAAGTTGGCACCTCGGTTGGCAATGCGGCATGCGCAAAAGCAAATTTTGAAACTGGCGTTAGATTTGCTTTTCTCCCAAGTGCCTACGTACGAATTTCATTTAATGATTTTAAATACCTTCATAAATCAAAAAGTTTGCAATTCGGTTCATGAATAGTCGAGATGTGAAAAGGGCACTCTGAATGTTGAATCGATTGGACTTTTGTTTGGCATTGCGATTTACTTGGCTAAAGATATACTCATATTGAATTTCATGCAAATCGGTTCATAACTAACGGAGATGTAAAAAGGACCTTCCTTATTTTTTGACCTACATTGCCAGTTCACGAACTTCGATCTACAAATTTGATAAAAAATCCACCTGCGAAATTTCATCGTAATCGGTCCACTCGTTTTCGGGATATCGTTTGTAACGGACAGACGGACAGACACCGCAAAAAAACTCACTAGGAGCTCGGTAATAATGATTCCATGGACTTCCCCTTCGCTGGACCTAACACGTGTGGGTTATGGTGGGTCGGAGGCTAAATGCTTTATAACCACCTGTAAACACTTGTAAATGAGATCTTCACAGGCGTCTTTTAGAATCTTGGAACAGTGTATCACAGGCTATGATCGATTCACTCATTTTCAGTATGCCCAGTCGAGTATATGAATGCGCAAGAATCGATGAAATGATCTATACATTATTACTGTTGAGTGTTGTTTGAATTTGTGATTCTATCATATTTACCTTGTTTCTTATTTCGAAATAAATACAATACATAAAATGTTTAAACAAATGCCTATTTGATTTTCATGATTTTTCTTGTTCATTTTTACCCATGAATTGTTTTTCCGAAGTTCGCGTGAAGATCGTTTTCAAGGTTCCTTGCTTGTTCCAGTTATAACACAAAGATGTTTTAGGAAACCAGATTTTCGAGTATGGCGCCATCTTTAGCCTTCATGACGAGTATGGCACATATATCATGGATCAAAGTAGAGCATGAACTTTCGGAAAATCCAAATGCCATACTGTAGCAAATCACCCAAAATTATTAACAAAAATGACATCTTTGCGCCGGTATGGCGGCTATCCGGACCCGTCGGTGCGGTATGGCAGGTTGATTTTCGTGAATGACTGATTGAGGACTTGATGCTCATAAAAAAATGAGCTTGTAGCAAATCACCCAAAAAAATCAAACAATCGACCCGGGAAGGCCCACCGGAAAAGTATGGCATTTCGTTTCCGTCATTTGTTTTGTCACCGACTACCAGAAAATTCAAAGAATTTTATGTATTAGCAAATTGTCCAAAATCATTAAATTTTCCGACATGTTTAAACAATCGTCACGCAATAACGGCCCCACTCCCAGAGAGTTAGCACCATTTTCGTTTTGAGGAGTACTTAATTAAACCTTTGAATGGTCGCCATACTTGTAGCAAATTACACCACAAAAAGTGTCACCATCTCCCGGTCTATCGCCCGTCGGGTCTAAAAAAAAAATTAAATTCACACACCATACCAAACATAGCTATTGATGGGCACAATAGCCAACGCTATCAGGAAAGAGGAAAACAAAAAAAAATAATTATAATAATTCCTGTAAGTTTAGCAATTTTATTAAATGGAGTTTATTGTGTAAGTGTTTCTTTGGGTTTGCGTTTGGGTTGAATACGAGTGGGTCGTGATAACGTGGTGTGTTTCTGAGAAGAAGGAGTATTGTGTTTTTTAACTGTGCTAGGAGGTGTAACTTTACTGGTCTGTCTTTGTAGTGCATGTTGCGTTACTTGTATTTATTGTGTTTGTTTGTTTAGTAATTATTATTATTATTAATATTATTAACGATCACACATCTTTCATAGTAAGAATTTCATATACAGTTAACCCGTTTTAAACGGGAAGGTTGCAATTCGAAGTTCAGCTGATGTCCATAATGTTAATCCGTGCATTCTAGCTGATATGTTAAGTAATCGGTGGTTTGCTGTACCACAGTAGTATATTTACATTTGCGACTGTATTAGCGAGTAGAGAGATAATGCAAATGTGAAACTCCATGGCCGTTACTGAACATACGAATTTCTCGCAAAACAGTACAACTGTGCGTAAATAGCAGTCGCGGCTTGTCCGATGAGGCAAGTGAGGCAGTGCTTCACCTGTAGAGTTATAATTTGGTATGTTACGATTATTTAATTGTAACGCCACCATAAATCTAAATCGAACAATAAGTTACCCCATCTAAGCGGCGAATTCCCGAACTCTAGCCTTTACGTACGTCGTACATCGTCATTCATTTGAGTTCCGAAACCCCATCTAATTCAGCGAGGCGCGCTCAATCGGGTTGGGAAACGTAAACTATGGCCATTGAATAACTACTATCGCCGCCACAAGAGAAGAGCCCTGCGTCATCATCTACAAGCGTGTGATTTAAGATTTAAAATCAAAGCAAATCCCAATTCAGTTGTTTACTTGTCAAATTTAGTTATTAAGGTAGGGGAAAGAAAACAGCTTATTTATACAAAATCGAAGAAAACTTTAGACGTTTTGGTGTAATTACTGTATCAATTCAAAAGGTGAGCCATAAGCTTCGTTGTTTTATCATATAACAGTTAGAAATTAATTTTGTAGGTTATATCATTCTAAATGGGAAAACTGCTAGCAGAATTAGTAATTACGGAGGTAATTACTCAAATTACACCTAGAATCTAACAACAACTTATGCAAGGTAAGGATATTTACACCTGATTCAAAAAGATAACCGAACTTGTTTGATTTTTAGGTGACTGGATGAAATGTGAAGTTTTATACTAGTATAAGAGCCATGCAACATTTGTAGATACAGAAAAATTATAATTCAAAAAAAATAAACGTATATTCATCTAATATTTAATCATCTTTATGGAAAATTTGAAAATAATTAGGAGTATTACGACGTTGGTCAAATCAGCATCAAATATGCATGTTAAACTTGACAAGCGTTATAGGTTATCTCTTTTCATTACATTTAGCTTTTCAAAAGCGCACGTCTATTATATCCCAAGAACTTGTTTCGGTCTCTGTCCTTTTTTGGGTTGCGCAAATTTTTGAGATGTAAGTATCAACACCTTGGATTTATGCATTCGTACATTGATGACGCAGGGCTCTTCTCTTGTGGCGGCGATAATATGGCAAAGATTAAAGATAGGAGGACGTGAGTTTGTAGGTGTTCGGCTCTATTCGGCGAAGCGGTTATCATTGGGTACGCTGAATAAGGATGGGGTTCGGAAATTCGCTCCCGGGGTAGGTAAATGTTGACGTATATCTGCCCCTGCAACAATGACATTAACTTGCATAATATCACATCTTTGAATGCATAATTTTACACAATGACAATCACGAATTGTGTTATCTATTTATATTACACAAGAATGACATGTGTTAAATCTGCTGTAATCTTTTTTGTTTATTTTGAACAAAGTTATACTGAAATTTGATATAAAAACATCATTCAGAATGAAAAGGGTTTGAACGTGTAATAACGAGGAATTTAGATATTTGTGGACTGTGGAGGTGTAACGTAATGATACCAAAGGGGGTTAGAAACTAAAACAACGCACTCTTGCCGTGAACATGAAAAAGCTTTCATGCATAATTAAGGCGGATCCACATTGATAAATATTTGCCGTGTGTGTTGAATGAATTTTGACAAAATTTTGTCCCAAAAATTTGAATATGGTTGCGTATTTACTATAATTCTCGCCAGGAAAGATCAGAACACTTGATCCCGATCTACAATCTCTGTTTTTCGTAAGGTGCTAGCGACTTCCGGAATAGTATCGTGTCAATGTTGAACGAAAAGACTTTTTGTTCAACATTAGCACGATCCTATTCCAGAAGTCGCTCGCATCTTAATAAAAACAAAGATTGTAAATCGACACAAGGTGTGCTGTCACCGGTAATCTTTCCTGCCTGGCGAGAGTTATACGTAAATATTTATGTTGTGTGTTGTATTTGCTGAATCCATGTGTCCACATTAGAACTTTGTTCGGCGCAAATCCCTTTGAAGTTGACTGGAAAACCGACAGCCTAGTGAATAACGTGCGTTGTTCGTCACGAAATTATTTGCGTAAGTACGTTTTCGTGCGGCGCATAGTCCACATTGACAAAAATTGCGGCGCACACGAGCAAATGTGTGTCAAATTCAACATACAACGCAAATATTTACCAATGTGGATCTGCCTTTAGCGCTTGCTATGTTTCAATAAATTGCACCAACTCTTCACATTAATTAAAAAGTTCTTGTCGTATGCATACGGTATATATACGGTACAAAAAATATGTAAAAGATAAGTACCGACATGTTTATACCGTTCCAAAGGAAATCAAATTCTACATTTGATGAAATAAAAAAAATTCGGTATTAGTTACATTTAAAAAAATCGAGTGATTTCTTTTAACACAGGAAAGTTTTACTTTGATCGTTAGGCGTATGTTAGTTTCATGATTAAGAACACCAAAGAGAGTATACCCACGAATTACGATTTGGTAACATTGCAGAGTCATGACCTTGCTAAGTTTTAACTGCGATAGGTATTCAATTTTGACTGACTGGAAAAAATGACTCATTTTGACTATCATATGTAACACATAATAAATTGGCCAAGGAAGCGTAATATTCAATAATATTCAGGGGATATGTTTAAAAGAATGCAACCTTGATATAAATTACCCAAGCACTAATGCCCAACCCTCCCCGCATAACCGAGAGCACATACTCAGAGCTTCAACTTTTGTCTTTGTACGTAAATTATTATAATTATTCGAACTAAATTGATTTTGCTTTTTTAAGTCATAATAAAAATAGATCGATCCACAATAACGTAATAGGCCGAGATACAGAAGTAGATTTGCGCTGGAGCCGTTCGGTGAAAATGAAACGTTAGGTATATTAATAATACATGTTTTGGAGTCTGTTGTTCTATAATAAGCACACTGTTACTGAACTTTAACAAAAAAAGAAAATGAATTTATTTTTTCGTTTTCAATTTTCTTTTACTGTATTTTTCAGGGTGGGCACTGCGCACCTTGCCCACCCTGAGGAGTCGCCACTGGTGAACCTAAGTTTTTGCAGCGGATACAACCGAAAATGTAAATAGTTAAGAATATAATATTATTTATCAGTGGAAGAGATTAATAAGAAGTATAACAAAAAACACTTACGGTACTGGCTCTGAATGAGTATCGATGTGCAAAACTTCATTGATAGGGTTTTTGCCGGAAGACTTGGACGACGATCCATAACTAGTGCTGGCAATTTGTAGGGGTTTAGCTCGGTAACTTGAGGTGAAGTGTTGTTGATAAGGCATTGATGGAGTATACTTATGACTTCCCATTGACTCTTTACCACCCGCTGATCCATTTAATAAAAGAGAATGGGCGGCCGGTGACGCAACTGGTTTACTACTAAGAGGTGTAGGAGGTGGGGGACTGGCGGCGTCTATTAACACTTCAACATACGAGACTGGAAAAATGCCCTTACGACCACCTATTCTTCCTTCGAACCAGTTGTCATCGACCCGTCTTGTTATGACGACTAGTTCTCCCTTAGCTAATGATAGTTCCAGATGCGTTTGTGCGATGAAATTGAACTTCGCTCTGGCTTGACCTTCATGATTTCTTCTTGGAGTTGATTTGACACCATCGAATGGTATTATCTAGAAGAGAGACTGTCAATTAATGGTCATTCATAATTAACTGTAATACGTGAACCAGTGGGACAACAAATATCGCAGTTTGCATTTCAAATTTTATATTCAGAAGATTGTCAAATGGCTCTGGGAAACTTTAAATACAACAACTTGAAGAAGAGGGGTACGAAATTTCAAGCTTCTGTTAAACTGATAAAGTAAAAATCGTATGAAATCGGGGTCCAATTTATAATCTGGGGTTCAACAGTGTATAATTTTACGATTGGAAGTTCCACGGTATGGACTGACATCGGCTGGGGTTCCGCCAAGTATTTTGGATAAAACAAAGACACAAGGCTTGCGAAACTTGGGTGTCTGATGTGGGCAAGGTTTCTGATAACTTTGTCCACAAGATATAATAATTGTACCCAGTTTGCTTATTTGTACATCCAGAAGCACTTCTTGAAATGTGAGTGAAATTTAAGCAAAAGTATAAAGAAGGAAATTTTATTAGTGATTTGTTACTCTAATTTATGTATACCTATGGCGAAACGATGGTAACTTAACAGTAACAGTTATCCATTAAAATTAAAGTGGGATGTGAATACTCGTATTAATAATAATTAATAACCATATTTAGTTTCACATGACTAACCTCAACGTAATTTGCCGGGAAAAGTCCTACCATCGCATTGTGTTCACCTTCATACCAGTTTTTATCAACCTGTCTTCTAATGTAAATTATGTCTCCTTTACGAAACGTAATTTCTCTGGCAGACTGACCCACAAAATTATATAAGGCTCTAGCAACTAAACGGTGTTCTGGAGATCGGGGACGTGGTTTTATCTTGGGACTATCTTCCGCGAGAAAATCGTCGTATCTATTTAGAGGAATTGGAGATTTTTGCGATGGAATAAAGTTGTCAGTATGTCTTCTATTGTTCATGTCTTGTAGTTCCTGTAATATACGAAAATACATTAGAATATTTCTTAAGGGGCTTGCGCTAACCATGGTTTAATTTGAAAAAAATGGATAAATCAGAAGTCGCATTTTGTGTCTGACAAGGTATTAGTAGACATTGGGAAGGCTAAATGAATACCTACAAGTTTACCTGTATGGCACATGTTGAAATGTTTACTTGAGGTTCATAGAGGTACAGCATTTTTGTATGTAAAGAATTCTTTCCTATCTTATTTGCGATAGAGTGCATGCATTTTCTAAGAAAGAGGGTCGTATAGTAGAGAAGGAAGGAAAAAATGCTTGTTCTGATTACAAAAGCCCTCTAAATCTCAAACAACCTCGATGAAGTAAGCATAAATATAAAGAATCTCTATCCAACAAATTACATTTCGACCGATAAGTATAAATGTCACACGTTATCAATTATTGGATTTGTTTTGACAAAATACGGAAATAGAATGTGAAAAAGGTCTTTGCACTCTCACTAATTACAGAAAATAATCATGTTTATTTAACCTTGTAACGTTATGTAATGCAAACCTTCATAAAGCAACCTATTTATTGTGGTTTTATTTAATATTTTTATTGGAAAGGGTCTTCACGTGAATCTACTTCAATGAAAATAAAGGGGTTATTGTGGCCATCTGCGCAAGGCGAAAATCATTTAAACAAGCATTGGTAGGTACAAAATTGAACAGGATGGGCTCTACTAATTTCAAGGCATAAAATTTATAGCTTCTTCTTCTTTTCTTTTTTTTTCTTTATCAAATTGGCGAATAAACTAAGATTTTAAACTAACAGGCTGTCTAAAAAAATGGTCAAGTCAGAATAAGTACTACGTTTACTTCTTGTGTATTAAATCAATTTTTCGTCGACGAAATTGGGAATAAAGGATGTTTTTTGTCAAATCCAAAGTTGCATGAAAAAATTGTGGACATACCTACATCTATTATATGAGCCTTCGGCAAGCTTTTAATGAGGCTATTTTTTTTCGACACCAGTTGGTCTTCTACAATAAGAGCATGTTCGGTGCAATAGGTTGCCGTTAATGGGGTTGGGTTAATTCGCTAAATTGCCACTTGAGGGAGGTTGCACTGCGCCCTAGGTAGTACAGAGGTAAAGTTGCAAGAATTATATTGTATGAAAATTAGCCCCGTCAATATAAAAACCGACCGGTTATTGGATTTGTCAAAACATTTATTTTGCGAGATTTAGAGGGGTATAAATGTTGCGACACTTTGTATATAGTTTATAACGGACATCGCTACGTATTCTAAATGTTATTCTAACAATTTCAATATAACACATTAGGTACCTACCTATCTAAATTAGTAGTTTTAAATAAAAAAATTTTATTTTTGAATTGGAAATAATCCTTTAACTAAATTCATACTGTTTTAATTGAAAACTTTCTTGCATTAATATTTTTCCATAATTAGGTTCCATCGTTTATGCACCTCACCTTTATCGAAGCGCTCAATTTCCATACCAGCATTAATGAACACACCGCACATTTTGTAGTCTAACAGATTTAACGAACACCCGGTATTTTGACACTCTTCGTTAGGAAAAGTGTTGCTTCGGAACTATTTATTTCTTTTAAGAGTTGAAAACAGAAGGTAGAAGTATACCTGTTTTAGTGTCTAGCGCCGTCTTAGCCTCCGATATGGAAACCTGTTGCTATATATAATACATCGTTCAATAAGTCTCGGGACTAACCAACAGATGGCATTAGTGGTGATATCAAGTCGATTTCGTTTTTCAAAGGAACCAACCTTCAAATGCAATGTGTTTGATTTTCAAGTCAATTGTACCATAAGCAGAAAAGCTCTTGTGGTGAAAGTGACGGTACTTCTACAAGATCATCTTTTATCAGGACAATGCATCGTGCCACAGGTCAATGAAAACAATGGCCAAATTGAATGAGTTGGGCTTCAATATGCTTTCCCACCTAGTGTCGTCTTCAGATCTACCCCTCAGCTACTACTGGCTGTTGTCTGATCTCAAAAAGATGCTATCGGGAAATATTTGACTCGAATGAGGATATCATCGCTACAACTAAAGTATATTTTGAGGAAAGGACAAATTGTTTTACAAACATGGTATCGTTGGAATGGGGGAGGATTGTGTTGATGAATAACAATAAATTTTACAAATCATAATTGTTTTCTTGGTTAGTCCCGGGACTTATTGAACGATGTGTTAATTGATAATTTTTCTAATTGTTTTCGTAGAGACATGTCAATTGTTTTTGTACCATCCGACAGCACTCGGCATGAGCAAGCAAGTGAAAAATTAATATGTTCGAATTTCAGCCCCGTTAATTAATTATTAACAGAGTTTAGTGTCCCAATGTTAGGGCGAAAACGAGCATTAGAGCTGCAAGGTCATGCAGTTTATTTCACAGGTAACAATAGGCATTACTGGGCCACAAAATTTGGAAATTTTAATCCGACCGTTTAGGTAAGTGTAATTAACCATAGTTAATTAATTGAGTCGCAGCAAACCTCGTCTGATTGTATTGAGTCTAATGGTATTAAAAGCGGGCTTAATTAATATAGATTTTGAAACATGTCTCGGATTTTTCGAACGTCAGAGGACCGCACATTTAAATAAAGATTTTTTAATTTTTGGACGTTATCTTTTTGCTTTTGGTGCGAAACGCAGGATTTTGCCGTAATTCTGTTTTAGTTGCGACCCCGGACGTAACGCCCGTCGAATTCTGGACTAAGCTGTTTGTTCAACTGACTGCCCGTGGGTACCGATAGCGCTTAACCTCCGGAGCCGTTCCGAAACCACCGACCTTGGTCAGAAGCAAGGCTTTATTTTTCTGGTGGCGCTCGAGTTCGGCCGTCTGTCCGTTCCGCCGACATAACATCCAGGTTGCCATCGACTGCCGCTACTTTCGCTGGTGTGATTTAATTCCAACAATATATTATTGAATTATTGTTCCTTTGATTAAATTTTTATTTTTGGGGACGGACATCCTATCTTTTATAGTTTATGATTTATTTGCCGTTTTAGCAACACCTTCGCATATCTTGGCATAAACAAAATTAGTGACTTTGACATCCGTCTCACTCACAGCATTCGCTTGTGGAAAATAATTTTTGCACGATCGGTTATAGTCGGCTACTTACTAATTCATTTTCAAGGCGGTAAGGTGCACTTACCAACCTAGGGCGGTAAGTGTATCATAGCAACGTGCTTAGCAACCAAGTGACAGTTACAGTAACATGCGACAAGTAGGATATGTGTCAAAAATCAAATTATTGTTTATTAATGTGGAAGTTAAATGTACAATTTGCAAGTTACAAAAATTAGTTCGGGAATTAGACAGGCAATTGGAAAACACGGTGTTTACAGATTCTTCACACTCAGCAGTCGATAGAGGATTTGAATTAGTACGGTATGAAATAGCAGGTTCTGTTGATGGCAACGAAGATGATGAAGGGTTCCCTGGAGTTCCACATAAAATCTTCTGAGCGGTTTCAATCTTGTTAGTTAATGACTCACCAAGTACGTGTCATCGGGTGCTTCCGTAAGAAATTTATGGAAATCTGCTTTAGAAAAAACGCTAGATTTTTTTTGGCTGATACCCAACGTTCTTTCTTTTCAAAAATGCTATCAGCGTACTGTATTTAGAAATATCAACACACCTTCTTAGAAAAATCATATTTTCAACATGGAATAATCACACCATAAGCCATTTCAATCCTTCACTACGTTGAACAAAATATGCTAACACAATTTTTTCACTTATGTCAGTTTGACATTTACTTTCACACCATTTAAGGAAAGAATCATATGCGGCTTCATATCTACTTTTAAATTTTTCGGGAATGATCGATGCGCAGCCAATACTCCATGCATCTTCTATTTCGAAATCTTCTGAATCATTTAGGTATGTTCACTTAGTCTCAACCAAACCACGTTTCGCGCACGTGTTGTTTTGTTTTCAAAAACAGAAACGTAACTGTAGCAACCCACAAAAATTACTGAACCCATTGTGATGCTACCACATTGATACATTCGAATTTAGTTTATATCAATTATAAATTGATCGTGCAAAAAATACTTAATATACTATTGGTTCACTTAATCAATATTAATAGTAGTATAGCTTATGACATGGCACTCTATTGTATCTATGTGATTATTTTAATTTTACAAATTATATGGTTTTCAATATTCTGCAGAAACAGCAACTGGTCCCAATTTGTTGAAAGAATTGAAATTTATTTGAAACAGCAGGGAAGCGTTTTTCGCATGTTTTAAAGAATTTTTTTTAACAGGTGATAATCATAATATATGCTTTATATCATTTAATACAATTTACTTACAATAATGTACATAGGTAATTAAAACCGCGTATCGAATGCTGAAAACCATAATCTGCAAAATTAAAATAAACAGAGATTTTAGACTATTATTATTATTTATTAAGTGGCACTTGATTAACAAAATTATTTTTAACAAGCGAATGTTGAGCAGACGTCAAACCCACCTATGAATTTGTATACCTACCAAGTGTAAGTGAAGGTGGTGTAAAGAACGCAAATAAATCATAAACTATAATAGATATGTAGATATAGGAACATCAAATAAGAAAAGAAGCATAATTTGACAACTTTTCGAATCTCGTAATAAAAAAGGCATTCTATTGAAAAAAGTTTTCGTTGTCTTTGCGACTGGACGAACGCCACTGAATAGCGTTGCTTCAGAATCTATTTTCTAACATTCGAACATCAGATCAGATACACACAAAATTGAACATAACTACGGAAAAATAGCAATACGTAGCAGTTTTCAAGCATTATTCCCAATACAGTCCAAAAACTAAAATTTTTATTTTTCTTCAAAACGACTAATTTTAGATATTAAGCCATTAAGGTGTTACCTATAATCAAATTTTTAAAATAAGATGCAGTGTATGAAAAGTAAAAAGGTTGTGCCATTTAAAATAACAAACTTAGTGTCGATTTCTGGTCTACGCCATATTAAAAATATGTTCGTTAGTGCGTCAAGTTTCCCAAAAAGTTGTTACTCTCGTTGTCAAACACTCTGTATACAGGTATACTTATAGGACAAATTACATGTCGCCACGTTTGCGAGTAGATCAAGTTATGTATTATCATTTGTAAACTATTAATAGGTAAACTACGTATAGTCAACATTATCATATTAAAGAAATTAGGCGAGAAATTAGGTAACGAGTTAAGTTTTCTACAACACACAAATCAAATCCCAGTAAAACTGTTATAAATGTTACCAAAACCTCAAAAATAGAAATACAAACCGACGTTAGTTGGTAAGTGCCTATTTATCAAGACGGTCATCCAAAATCCTTCCAACTTAAACTATCTTATTCTACTTACATCGTCGAAATCGCTAACCTGAAGATATTTTCGCCGTCTTTCTTCTTCATAAACGCGTTTCATATGTTCGGCTTGGCGACGTGATAGTTCTTCTTCGCTTATCGGTTCCTTTACCTCCTGCCGCACTGGTGTTTTGTAATGTATCGTCACATCGTTTTCCACGTACCTCCGGGGCGACTCTGCAATAATATAAGAAACGGCGCGTCAAATTAATCTCATTCTGCAATAATGGCTAAGCGTGTGAACTATCTCGTGAAAAACTATCAAGAGTGTATAAGCCTGATACATTTCGGCATTGTGATCAAGTAATAAGTTCGAAAAAGATGAAGTAGTTTTTTAAAGCGTTATTATCCCATCAAAAATAAAAATTGTCCATTAAATGGGCATAGAGTGAGCAAATGCTATCAACTGCATTGTTCCTATTGGGTGATACCTCGGGCGATGAACTAACTACATCAAGACCTATAGACGTTAATTAGAAAAATCTAATTTCAACGAATATTAGTATCAATTGTATCTATAGCAGTTTGAATAGCGAAATTCAAACATTATAAAAAAATAAACGGATACAACGAAATATCGAAGGATTCTCAGTATTATTTTGATAAATACATATAGTCAACAAAAATGCAACAAATTCATGTTATGGGCATTGAGATAATGCTTTTAGACTTTTTCCCAACGGTCTTGGTGCACGAATAACGTTTTTGGCATGTTTCGATCAAAATCCATGTGGTCGCCAAAAATGCATCAAATTCATGTTTTGGTCATTGAGATAATGCCCTTGATCTTTTTTCTAACGATCTTGGTGCATAAATAACGATTTTGACATGTTTTGGAATTAGGTATAGGAATTATAGGAAGTCATCGGAAAATAGTATTTCGAGCATTCAATTCGTTTTTACTCGTAATATCGACCACCAAAATTGTATTATTCATATCGCCAATTCTTCCAGCCACAAGGGCGAGGATAGTTTACATGGTTTACACATAGTGTATTGCTCAGCCTTAGATCAAAATGAAACGTAGAAATGAAAAATGATACGCGATAATACGCTGTAGTATCGAAATATAAATTCAATGATGATCTAAGTTTAGAGTTGACTGAAATGTTTGTTAATTTTTTACAAAATAATTAAGATACATTTAAAAAACCGAACATTTCACGAATAGATTTTCGTTTGGACCAAAGAAACCCAAAATTTGATTAGGGAGGCGGTTAAATGCATTGATAGAAAAAAGGCTCTTTCTGAGTATTATGTCCACTTTTTGATAAGAGTTACCTATTTACATAAAACCCAGGAAAATGACACATTACTGCCGAGGAAATATAGAAGTACGAGGTCCCTTTGGGACCGAGTACTTTAACTTCCAAATTGCTAAAAGGTAACAGATTTGAATTCCAACAACACAAATTTACTCGGTTTAAATGCAAACCTCGAGTGTAACTCGGCAGGACAATTTAACAAACAAGAAATTCACCAAACTAATCAATTATTGACAAATGTCATACTAGTTATATGGGAACGGATAATGCGATATTTGGTTAGAAAATGAATAAGTGACAAAACCACTACAGCGCGTTCGCACCTCCAGATGCAGTATGGTGCTTAAGGACATACAGTACATGCTTGCCAAACGTGACAATGACAGCGCAAGGAGATTATGTTTTGGTTTAATACTTCAATTTAATCATATGTCAATTTGACGTCTCACATCAATGCGGTCAGAAACAAGGATAGTATTATCGAAGAATGACGCAAACTAGTAAGAGAGGCAATTAGTCCATAAGACCCCATACTGCATCTGGAGGTGCGAACGCGCTATAGTGCATTTGTCGCTGGAAAAGTTGCAGGTAACTTTTGCCGCTGTCAAGGCGACAATTGCACTGCAGCTTATGCTATTTTTGAGTTAAATTGTCACTGAAATGTCGCAGAGAAATTAATAGTGTAAAATTTTTGTTTGGCTTAATCTATAATTTAATTGATTGTCCGCACTTATTAGCTAGCCTAAGCTTCACCGTTCCGGTGCGTATTAATAGAAATGCTAGTACCGTTACAAACCCCACTCCTAAATAATAAATAATAATAATTTATAAACCCGGAGGTCGGGTGTTCGAACCTAGGTTGAGGTGAATTTTTCATCTGTGGCAGAGATGGAAATTACTTTAGACCAGGTCCGAGCATTCTACCGGCTACTCCGAATTAGGTTTTCCTGCAGTTTTCCTAATTCGTAAGGTAAATACCGGAGTAGTACAGGACAACTTAAGACCTTCTGCAGAGGCACCTCTAAAAAGCATTATGCGTGTCACTCTGTAATTGGGCGCAAGCCTGTTGAGGGCCCAGAACAAGAGGGGGATAATAAATAAATAAATAATAATTTCACAAAATTGTGATCTTCATCAAATCATCACAGTTCTTTACCGGAATTGTTACGCTCGATTATTAACATTAACAGTAATTAACTTAAGTTATTTTTATAGAACATTGTTTGTCGTATAATCAATTATAATTAATAAAACTTCTGGTATTATTAGTCACTTAGTAATTATTCAAGAGGGCTGATAGACAATTTTTTCTTTTTTTTTTGTTTGTTTGTTTGATTTTTTTGTTATTGGTTTCGGTAGTTTAAGTAGGTATACTGTTATCAATGTTACTATATATATATATTTTTTATTTTTGATTTATTTTTAACTCGATTGTACTCTTTCAGGTTGTATAATGTTGTTTTTGCTCTGAAATTGGAAAGTTTATGTTTTTCTGTTGAGCAAATAAAGGATTATTATTTTTGTTTTAATTTCTCATCAGTGGACAGGTGTCAATACCAAGTACCACTAATACCATATTGTTATTTTTATGACCAATGTAGAAAAGATCGCACTATATTGCATGTTTTGAGGATATCGGATTTTTGTGCTAGTGTGTGTGTGCGTGGTGGTAGATCTAGTATTTCTAAGTTTGGTGTAAATGTGATGTGTGTGAGATTCTGTGACAGATATAATAAAGGAAAGTATTAAAACTTGATCCTGTTTCCATATTCTTTGGACTTCTTGTGCGAGGGGTTTATACGAGGGCTATACAGAAAGTAACAGACGTTTTGAAATAAAAAATTAAGAAAGTGTAAGAAACAACTTTTATTATACACATTTGGAAGTACACTCTTAGGCTATTTTTCAACATAGTCGCCATTTATATTGAGGCACTTATCGTAGCGTGGTACACGTGTTTTTTTATTTCAACTTTGAATACATCCGCCGCTTGAGACTTTAACCACTGGTTATCGTGTGCTGTGTTGCGAGCGAGGTCTTCATCGCTAGGAAGAGGTGGAAGTCGCTTGGCGCTAAATACGAGCTGTACGAAGGGTGATCCTTTCTCTAATCCAAAATCATCCAAGAGCTGTCCAGTACGGTTGATTGTGTATGGGCCGGCGTTGTCGTCGAACAAAAAAACTTCCACCTCTTCCCAGCGATGAAGACCTGGCTCGCAACGGAGCAGTTCGATAGGGACGCCGAATTTCATGTCAGCGTTACCCAGTGCAGGTTAAAATCTCAGGCGGCGGATTTATAAAAGTTGGAATCCGAGTTCGAATCAAAACACTTGTGCCACGCTTTGATAAGTGCCTGAATTTGAATGGCTCTTCTGTTGATAAATAGCCCAAGTGTATACTATAGTATAATAAGAGATTTTCTTTACAAGTTTAAAATTTTTTATTTCAAAACGTCTGCTACTTTCTGGACAACCCTCGTATTTTTCAATTTTTTCTTGGTGTGTTTTGTGAATGTTGTCGTGGTTTGCTATGCTGATGTCTATTAGGTATGTTGTTTTGTTATGCTGTTATGTACTAAGGCAAAGCATAACCATTTTTATGCACGGATGTCGCATGGATGTATTATAAGCAGCCAATTATAGACAACATTTATATGGGCACAATTGTCCTTTTAACGTCCTCGGGCGCTTTTATAGCGTAGTATGATGAGACATTGCATGAAAGTGTGCTATAATGAACTAAGGGCTGCCACTACTCTCCATTATCAAAATCCTTAAATTTCAAAAGGCCTACATGTTAATATAGTTATTTGTTTCATTAGTACAAAAAATGGCAGTTTTCGGGACGAGCAAGACAGTTGCTGGACGACGCGTTAGCGGAGTCCAGCAACCTTCCGAGTCCCGAAAACGCATTTTGTGTACGAATAAAACATAAATTTTTTTCTCCAATCCCCTTTACTTTAAATTATATTCGAATTTAGATTCAGTCACAGTTTCACTACTAGTATGAGAACTTTTGCTTTCTTGTCCTCACGTGTCATGCCACTCTAGTTTTTAGGTTTAACTTATATGTAACCTATTCGTTCTTGATTCTTACTTCTCATCTCTCGCGACTTTGTAGGGAGCAATCTAAGGTAGCATGTTCTGCCGTTTCTATAATCTCTGGAAGTGTGCAATCCATGTCGCTATCAGTTTCAGTCATTTCTATTGTATACACAATTAATATTGTTATATTTTGTATTGAAACAAAAAACTTACTATACAGTTTTTTAATTAAAATTAATTGCAATTAACTTTTTCAAATTTTGAATTCAAAATGACAGATAATAGTACAATGGGCCTGAAGTAGATGGCGTTACGCGTGACGGCGGGTTGTATACGTATTAAAATTACGTTCACCGAATATGTAAATTACGTTACACATGGTTTAAATAAAAATAGCGAGCGTAAATCATTTTCAATACATGTACATACGTATAGGTAACAGCATTATTTGCATTGAATATGCAAAAATATTTGATTTGTATGTATAGAAATATCTTACAACCTGCAATGTAAAACGATGTCAATGTGACATATCTCCGTGATTGTAATTTTTTAATTGGCCAACTTTCAAGGTCAATTTCTTTTTGGTACTAGGACCAAAAGTATCCACTTTTTGTACAGTTGCCATGGTGAAAGCGATTAATCCGCAAAACGTCAATTTTACGTACCGAACACTGTCACAAAATAGCGTCTTATTCAGGTGGTTGGAGAAAAAATGAAATTAATGAATCAAATATGCTGAAGCGTATTCCAAATGCAATTACAATGGATTAAAAACCAAACGGCAATTCTAGTAGAAAATTCGGTTAATTAACGGGTTATTTTAAATAAACTTTGTAATAAAGGAAACTGCCCCTAATTTTCCAAAC